GCTCTGTGTTAATCAGACCACTGTCTACCTACAGCAGACATACACGCACCAGATTCCGACGACATGTTATTTGTACCAAAACGGCCCTCCACCGAAAATCTTTCGCTGAAGTCTCAGCGTACTAATCGCCACTGCTAGGCAGTCAGGCAGCATCGCTGAACTAGTTTGCTAGTGTTTATTTTTTGCGATCCTCATTCACAAATAAGACTCGCCTGTTGTTTCTGTTTATGATTATGAAATTATTTTTGAATTTCATTTAACTAGGATTATTGTACTCCTGTGTGTATTCCAAAAATGAAATTCCTTCGATTCCACTCAAGCAGTAAACTTACAAACGTGTTTAACATAAGCTCTTCTGACGGGCTAAGGTGTGATCATAGGTGTGCTATTTGAACAGCACACTAACAGGCACTTTTATGAAGTGATCGCAATCTGTTTCAACGAAATAAGGTGATTGACGCCGACCGCTGAAATCCATCTCACTATCTGCCCTCTACAAGCACTCCGTCACTGCCCTCCTGATCAACTATGCTTTTACCCAGTTTCACGCTAAACCTCAACCAAAGGTTCGACGTACCGTCATGACAAATTTGTGAACAGGCGCATGTGTGGTGTGTGGCCTATGCCATAAAATATACGACATGCTGCAGGTACATACACGCATCTGAGACTCGTGAAGCCTATGTCAATCGGATACCTTCAGTGAAGTAATCACCTCTATAGCCCAGCTGAATTGCTTGGCATGTGCTGCTCCATGATTTCTATTATCTTCCAAACAGTCGACATTTTACTATATCTTCAATGCGTCCATATCAACTGTACGTTTGTATGCAACGCTTGTTTGAAACAAAACTTTTGTGCGAGGATAAAGTACCAAGAACTAACCTCAGTTGCATCTTTTCCGACTGAAAAGTCAAGCGGAGGGAAAGACTTGGCACGACGTTCTTATCAATCCCAAAAGAAAAATAAAACACGCTCAAATTTTTAATTTTTCCGGCATGTCCGAAGCCGACCATGCCGTGAAGGGGGAACATAGTATCCGCAGTACTGTCCCAAAAAAGTGATCAGAACTGGTCGTCGTGAGTTTCGCTCAAGCACGTGCTACGATTCGTTTGCAGCGCAAAAGTGAAAGTTATGTCGCTACTAAGTTGCCTGATTTAAATTTTAATTATGCGCTGTTAAATTGCGTAAACTAAATAGTCCACCGTGGTGGTGTGTAAGCGAGTAAAATGTCTGTGCGCAGAACGAAGGACGGCAGAAGAGAAGAGGGGGAAAAGAGAGGAGGGAAGAAACCAAAAAGTCGGGACGAGGAACGGAGAACACTGAGCGTCGCGTCGGCCGGCGGCTGGTCGGGTGGTTTTTCGAGAATACCGAAACAGAGTGAGGGAGAGAGTGATACCGAAACAGATCCATTTTTCTTTCAGCACATTTAGTTGCAGTTCGGGGAGTCATCACGCACAATATCGCTTCAAAAGGCAATCTATTTCCACCGGAATGCCACTGTAAAAAATTGCGACTCATCAATCAAAATATCACTCTGCTCTGCCACTGTACGCAAAGCGTATGGTCGCCGGTCGATCGGCCGCGCCAGCAGGCAGCACGTTCACAGCGACGATGCTGACATTCGATGGAAGAGCAGACAAATCGCTCAATCACTAAAGAGGCCGACCAACTAGTTCCCGTCCAACAGATCAAAAGAAAGCAGGGACGGAACGCATGGAGGAGGACGAGAGGGCAGCAGCGCAATGTGCGCCATACCCGTCGGCCGTACAGAGTGACTGTGAAAGAGTTGCCTCCGACCAACCGAGCGAGGAAAATGAGGCAAAACGCGCCGGTCGCCGGCGATTAGTTCAAATCAAGTTTTTAGCGGCAAAATAGATGATTTTTCATGCTTGTTCGTTAAACGATACCGCAATTAGTCAGATTAAGATGTCCCTACTGGCCATCGGAAACAGATTTATCGCATGACCGTAAAGAGAAGTGAAAACGAGACGGATGCCGTACGAACTAAGCTATGTTCCGGTTCTCAAACTATATGTACTCGTCTCTCCAACGGTTCGATAACTGCAAATGAACGAGGAGACAGAGTACCGCAGAGGTACTGCTTCGGCGCAACAAACTACTCTGACACCGAACAGGGTCAGACGCATTTCAGGTCGCCGAAAAACCTTCGGTCAAGAAAGCACTTATGCATCGCCCTCTGCAACGGCACGTTTCCTACTTCGCGTCTTTTTAAACGCAAAATAAGTAAAACCATATAACGCTGCTTTTCCACCGCAAGGCAAGTCGTTAATATGATTGCCGCAGAACCGATGGTACGCGTCACTTCCGGCCGAAGTTGAGTGACAAACTTAACGGATGGATTTGGAATCCTTAGCCTCCGCGTCATCCCCGGTAATTACAGTCTCCCGATAATTACAGTCTCCCTTCTTGAACAGGGGTACGACAACCCCAGTTTTCCAGTCCGCTGGTATCTTCATCGTAGACAATGCAGTTTCACAGGCACGTGCTTGCCACAACATGCTTCTTTCGCCTAAATCTTTAAGCATTCCAGGGCAGATTTCACAGATTCCAGCAGCTATCCAACTTTTCAAGCTTATTGCTGTTTCTGGGACTGCATCGGCTGAAAGTCCGTTGGCTGATGCTGTTCACGCGAGTCTTCCTGCGGGGGTTCAAGGCTAAGGAGCTCCTCAAAGTACTCTCTTCAACGCCGAAGTGTCACGAAGGCGTCCGGACCTGTTCCTTCAGGTATCTCAGGTATCTTCGACTGGTCTGCTTTCCATCTCGGAGACAGCAGATGACCTGCCAGAATACCTTGTTTGCCGACTGGAAATTTGACTCCAGCAGTCCACCTTTTTTCATGAATCTTCTTTGGCTGGCGCTTCCTCCACTATTTTCGCGGCCATCCATCATTACTTGAGTCCGAGGGGTGAATTCAGACTCGACCACAACTTGAAACCGAGAGGTAAAGCGATCGTAATTTAATCGTAGTTTTTCGACCAGGCTACGTTTATGAGGTAGGCATACAACCTTCCTGGTAAATTCACGCATCATTCGACTTCTTCCGCGTGCCAGGCTCGTTCATTTATCAATGAATGGCTTCTTGTACAAGGTTTCTGAGATAGTCACTGTTTCTTAATGCTTAGCTCAGTTACTTCCAAATGCCATGTTCATCAGAATTCAGCTTCTGTCATCTATTAACAGCATTTTTAGCGATGCTTTTCGTGATTCCGTACGCATTATTTGAAATACGTCATACGGAGCTTTTGGCGTACGTCGCTTTGTGGTACACAACCATTTTACGCAGGTCATCTCCCGCGTAATCAAGACATCCAAAAGGGTGAAAATACGCATTTTTCAGTTTAGATGATAAATCTAATGGTCTGGGAAAAAAACTGTCCAAACGGTCTGAAATACAGGATTCTGTAACATTTTTGCAAATGGCAAAGACATCATCCGCATATCGTTGATAGAACATTGACTGAATGTTGCTAGCTGATCTTTGGAGAACAACCGTCTCCTAGTGTCCCATAAAATGTCGGCAACCGTTGGTGAAAAAGGAATGTCTGCAGGAGTTCCGTTGTTTTGTTGAACGTAGCGCACCATTATACCGGAAACAGTTTTAGTCCACCAGGCAGATCTGGAGAATATCTTGGATTGACTTTACCGAAAGTGAGGTCTTCTGTCTAAACTCCGGGTCGTTTTCACCTTTTCCCTCACGACATCAAAGACTACTGCTTCAAGAGGTACGCTGACAAACAAGCTTGAGGCGCCGTAACTCACTAAGGTTGTATTTTTACTGTGCAACAGTCAGGCATGTGTTGAGCGAAATCTCAAGCATTTTGTAGACGCCAGATGCGAGTTTAACTATCCGATATAACTCGCAAGAACCGACTGAAGCGATGTGGATATAAATATGATGGGCGGAATACTACATGTAAAAGAGACGAAAAAGCGCACGGGTATTCGAAATTTATGCGTCTTAGGTAGGCAGTAGAACCATGGAACGCTGAAGCTGTTCTTGAACCCTAACTTGGCCTACGTTCATTTAGACCTTCGCAGTTTCAAGTCGTTTGCTGTTTCCAGGCATGAAATAAATTTTGTCAAGCAGTGCAATTTTGTCAAGCAATTTTGTCAAGCTGCTGCGTTAGATCTTCCGCTAAACACGAGTTTCCAGGCTTAAGTACGAAGCAACACTTTTCATGACAGCCATTTCGGTTCATCAAAACAGTCGCGTTACCCTTATGTGCTTTTATGATCATGATCGAATCATTTCGTCTGTAGTTCTTCAAAGCCTTTAATTCGCTGTTCGCTAAACTGCCGTCAGTCTTTGCCACAGAGCTTACTAGATGACACAACGCTGAGGTGGCAGGAGGCAGATTTAAGATCCCGCAGTGATCGAAGCGGAGTGCGGAAATAACTCGGATGCTGTTTAACAGTGTGCAGTGGAAGACCACGAAATAGACTGGCAGCACCCAAGCGCAATCTGCGTCGAAAAGAACTTTAAGCTTAGAAAATCAAAGAAGCTGTGTTCATGCAGGCCAGCAGACGTACGAATAGGGACATCGGCGTGGATCGGAGCACTACCTGATCGTCATCCGTTGACAACGCACTGTCAGCATCAACCCCTGCTCAGCAGACTGGCAACCGGAATTTGAGCTGAACGGTTTGAACCTGCAGATCAGTTTCTGCCACTGTGTCTTGACAACGAGCCGAAGAATATGGCGCTGACGGTGGGTGACTGGCAGCAAAATGTGCAAGCAAAGAAATCCGGTAAGACACACGAATACCGGTGCAATGATAATTAATCTTCATCGTCAAAGAAGAACGTTCGAAACACCCACTTGCCGTCCTTCATCTATAACGCAAACCAAGATATACTTTGGCGACCTTGTTCGAGCAGTAAATTTTCCTTTCCACAACCAATTGTGGCTGCAAACGAATCAGGAGTGAAACCTTCGCCACTCACTGAACCGTTGTGTGCAATTGCCGATATGCATGACTACACCCTGATTGTAATAGGTGATAAGAACAAAACAATAAAGTCGACAGCCGTAGAGATATTCAGGTGTTTAATGTTTAATTAACGTTTTACATGTTTATAGTCACTCTTATGATGGGCATGAAATGAGGGGCGTTTTTCGTTTCATCACGAAGCTTGCAGCGTCTCAGCTAGAAGGGCGCGACTGCCTTTCGTTCCTAAGACGGCGTTTACAGCAGGATGACCATTACGGGGTGTGAATTCTTGCAGGCGACAACAACTTCTACCCAACGACGACTGGTCGGAAAACTCCTAGTCAGCATGTTTCCAATCCTTAACCCTTCGGCACTGTGCAGATGGCTGGATGACCGACCTCGCGTTTAACTCGCTGCCGGCGACC